CAACAACTTCTCGAAAAACCCACCGCTTTTTCGTGACTTCCAATGAGGAAGTTTAGAACAGCTGATTATAGTCGCATGTGGTTGACGACTGCACCATCCCACATCAAAAATCGATCAGCGGCTCTGAAGAAGGCGATACTGCCGAAACGTCAGCTAGCGTTGTATTGTATTGTGTTTTTATGGAAGTAAATGTATGCTGTTTAAAAACCTCGCGATTGCTGAACAAGAAAACGACACATTCATATTCCAATGCCGAGGTTAAGAGAAAGTCGATCTTGGGAACCATCTAAGTGCGTTGTAAAAACAATTTGGCTAAGCATCTGCACTTGGCCCATGCCTTGCACCTTCAGTGGGTGAGATTAAGTAAAAGAAAAACATATTGCGATACATTACGACTAACAGCGATGAGAAGCAGTTATCAGTGTATTGCTCGATAATGTGAGATAGACGAGAAACGAGAATGTTCAAGGAAAAAAAAACAGCTCTCTGCCAGATTTAATAAATTTAAAATAAATTAATACATGAAAAAAACGTGTCGTGTTCATTTAGTTCACTCTAAACGATAAAAAAAAGCTCTCGGCGTTGATCAATCCCAGAGGGATGCGCCGCAATGCATTAGACTCCATTAAGTGTCGTTAGAGATGGTTGAATGCATATCTGGTCTATACAATGACTCGCGATGGCCTACCGATCCGATGGCCTATCGGGTCAACGGTGTTAGCCTTTCAGACAGGTCTGCCAACAATATGTCAACGCTGAAATGATGGAAGACTTGGTGAGCCTGAGGCGTCGGACCGAGCACATGCGTATTGTAGAGCACCTCTAACCACTGCTCTATCTCTATCCACAAAAAAATTTGGTAATGTGAATTCTCACTTAAGATCCTTTAGTTAACCACAATACCTAAATCACGTTGCAAGAAATCAGCCGCTGTTGGAGATGAAGTATGACTGGCATCCTAACGACCATACGTCTGATAAGCAGCGCTAATCAATATCCCAATCGAAGAAAAACCCATAGAAAGGCAGAGTGATAAGCGAGTCTATTGGAAATGAATTGTATAAAATTTGAAAACACATGGGAAAAACTATCAAGGTGTTCAAACGTGGAATGCCTACGATTTTTGAAAGATAACGAAGCGCTAGATGAAACGATTAGGGCTTAAAGAGGTGATATATATATATATATTGTATATATATATATATATATAACAGCACTGATAGTGTCAGTAGCTTAATAATTCAGTAAACAGCAAAAGATTCTACAAATAAGAAAAACTAAACGAAAAAGAAATTGAAACCCAAAACTGCCAAAACGACTGAAACACAGATTAAAATGACAACAGAAACCACTTGAAAACTGTTGTACTTGAACTTGTTACAGTATAAAGAGCATTTCATACTTGATACTTGATACTTGAATGGTTGTGCGGGCCCCAACATAATCTCCATTTTTCGGAGATTTGGTGGTTACGTCATTGTGGTTCTATTGGATCCCGTGGTGAGCATGGCCAAAGTCTGCCCCAGGACTTAACCACCACAGGCAGTCGCAGCCCTTGTTGATCAGAGGGAGATTTGCCACCATGCGACTTTGACGCCAGAACGATGGTGGGTCCTGGTATTGGTTTAATCATAGCTAGGCTTCCTGATGGAAACGCCGGACTCAGCCTAAGAGACCCTGACGGGGGACGAATCCCTCCGCTCCACATTACGACCCGACACCCACGAACACCTCCAAGCCACGATGAGGCGGTATACCGTTGGCAGAAAAGAGTATTTCATAGAAGTATGATGATCTAAAATAACTCATAAATAACTAGAATAAAGGACAATTTTAGAACGATAAATCACACTATGCTAAATTCAACACTATCAGTTTCAAATATTAGCAGCGAAGGTGACAAGGGAACTGCACGGCCACTTATCATTGTGTCCGCGCATTGCAATAACTCTGCCCACAGATTCTTAACCTTTTTACTTACTGCCTATTCTTTTTACCGGCAAGGTATTTTGCGAAATATAACTACTATAATGCTGAAATATTTGCAAAACTCCGGACCGCAGATGTCTGCGGTGGGAACGAACACGCTATTGTCCTTTCCGGGGAGTAACGCGTTCACCACCACACCATCCGGGTCCTTCGTTTCGCCTGTCTCTCAAGTGGCAGCTAGTAAAAAGGTTAAGATTGTGATTATAACTATAGCCTCAGCTTAACTGAGTTCAATGCCGATTTGGGCTCCCCAGATCAATCCCGTTGACGGGTGATTGCTGATGGCAAAAGATCGATAGAACTAGCTGAGAGACAGGCGAAACGTAGGACCCGAATGGTGTGGTGGTGAAAGCGTTACTCCCGGAAAGGACAATAGTGGGTTCGTTCCCCACCGCAAACATCTGCGGTCCAAACTTTTGCAAATATCTCAGTATTATAGTCTGCCAACAGCTTTATTTCCTTTCATCGTAAGGATTACTGATCAAAGAAAACTCAAATAAGAAGGTAACCTGAGGACTTTTAACTTATGGAAAGAAAAGTGGTCCAAAATACAAACATAGTCCCCATAATCTAGCTCGCATTGTTCAACAGCAAAGACGCAGAGTGTTTCACTTTGATCAACCCTGTCAAGAAGCACCATACCCACGACTCCGTCTAGGGTCGTATACGTGACTGAATGCATATTTTGCTTATGCAATGACTTCACCACGTCTGCAGATAAATCAAGTCAGCGTTTGAACCTCCCAAACAAGTTTGGGACCAACATACCAACACTGTATGGATGATGGGCTCTATCGGCCTGGGACGATAAATCAAACTGGCGATCATGCATTTCAAAGCATCTCTAAGCACTGGACTGGAGGCACCGCATCTCTTGACATACTTCCTCTAAAGTTCGCTGGTAATAATCCAAAATGGTAATCCATATCCTAATATAATGATGGGAGTTTGTATTTCAAAATTATTGGGTTAAAAAGTCAACATAGAACTTAAAGAAAACGTTAAATTCAGGAAAAAAAATCCCACAGTATTCTTTCGAAGAAATAAAAAAACAGGTAAGGAGAAAAGAAGAAGAAGAGAGAATACATAGTGGTGCAATATCCTTACGGCATTCGCCGCTTCATTATGAGAATAAATGAAAATTGCTAGGAACTGAAGGTGAGGTTATGACAACAAGGTAAATAACCGTTACCAGCAGCATTCGCACTCACTAAATAGCTCCAGGCACCAACAATGTCGTTATTATCCTCACCAGCTACCACCTCGGCCTTTGCACGAAAGGTGCAGAGAACTTTCCGTTCATGGAAAAGATACATCTCTACTGCTTTCCGGAAGACAACAGAAGCACTGTGCAACGAAATTTGTCATGGTGAGCTGGTAACGCTTATGGGTCCAGGGTGCTGACGGATACATGTGACAGCTGCGTGTTTAAAGTAACACCGAGCACCTCTTGTATTGTTCTCGGTCATTGAACTGCATATTTTCGGCTGAAGAATAGTTCATATAATACTGGGTATATGGCTTTGTGAATACAGGTAGTATACGCCAATCCAGCAAAGAACTCCATATCTCTTCCTCGTGTATGGCCAGTTTGCCGTAATTATTCTTCCACTTATTACTACCATAGAGATTCCGGCTACTACATTGTCCTTGAGCGGTCGGTTACTTTTACATTCCTACTTTCGTTTCTGATTTCGGCTTTAACATCTCTCCGAATCAACTAGTAAGAAGACCGAGCGAAGGACCATAATATCTCAATATTTTGATTACATTAAAATTTATTTTATTTGTACCTGTACAAAACTCTCCACTACTTTCATTACCACACCAGCAGCGTTTACATAAAGATTAATTTATCCAAGTTTGAGGTGTGGTGTGACAACAAATCAAAGCGATGTTACAGCACAACAAACTTCAAGCACTAGTGCTTTTCCACACTTAAATATCCTAGAATTCAACCCTAACAAGTTTAACATCTGTACAAGTAGCATAACTTTTAACATTATCAATATGTAACATCGATATGTAAAGAACAGAGTCGTACTAAAGAGGAAGCGATGGAACGTTATCCCATAAGGGGCGCGCGTTGTTTAGAGTGGCTCCCCGAAAGAATACGAGCAATTTTTTGTCGGCTGCGGACTACCTGGGTTTTTTGACAATAAAAACGTTTTTTCAATAACTTGAGTGCTCTAGACGTTGTGAACATGATGGGATTGGAGAAGAGACACAAGCTATTGCTAATAAGTAGAGTACAGTTTTACGACATCCACTCGAATATTTACGATATTTACTCGGATATGTATTGTAATGAATCAAAAACTGATCACTTCTTCGAGCTCGTCTCATAAGCCACTTGGATTTCCTTAATCTTAGCTCGAGCGTTCTGGAATGACTCTGGTATAGAAAGGCTTTTCAAATACGAAGAAAACCGTTTGGTAACCAAAATAACAAGTATAGGTATCGAAGTCTAAGACGAAATCAAAAAGTTCCTACTTAATGTGCAGGATATGAGATAAGGATATAGTTTAGTCTCTCCTCTTACTACACTCACACCATTATTCCAAAATGTGGAATCTTAACGCGCGACAATACGACTTCTCCCATACATAACAAAAGAGAAAATGAACAGAACACAAGAAACCAATGAGTGACAGCAAGATCCGTTAAAGAAAAGTCTTCCAGAAGTCGTAACACTGCTCATTATTTAGAATTCTTAGAATTTGTTTGCAAAAAAACTTTTCCGGGCGTGAATCAACACACTCACCTCCAGTGCAGTCCAACCGCCAAGCGATGAAAGTCGAAATGCCAAGGCAAAGAGTACGCAAAAATGTATCTTTTTATGAAAAGCTCCAGGTCGAGCTCTAAACAAATTTCTCAAATTTCTCCCTCCGAAAAACAGAACAGGAGTTTGAAAACCTTTAAAGCGAAGGCGTTTCAAATATTTAAGATTAGCTTACAAATCTGTGTTGAACGACTTAGCTCCAGAGTTGAGCAGGAGGAAACGAGCGGCTTGGAGAGCTTTCAAGATTATCGAGGATGTAGTGAAGAAAAGAAAGAACACCCGACTCCGTGCCAACCTTTCAACTCAACGGTACCTCCTGCCCTAACGTATGCATCAGAAACCTGGTCGCTGCGTAAGCAGGATGAAAGATCACTCAGCGTTATTGAACGCGCAGTCGAAAAGACGGTGCTAGGAGTATCCCGTGTCACAAAAGCGAAGGAATGGATCCGAAACTCCGATTTACGTCCACGATCAAGAATCAAAGACTTCTCCTTAGAGTCCCTAGCGCGGGTAGCACCCACTGGGCTACTCTTGCATGCGACAGGGAGAAAACGAAAAACGGAAGATCTACTGGTGCTCGTTCGAGTTACTCGACGATCAACGGGATTATAGGTGGTACAACCTATTTTCCCTTTCAAACATGAAGAGTAGCACAGGATTCTCAAATAGTCATTCCTACGCGATATGATAACATCTAATCGATAACACCAACCTTGCGCACTTCTTTGCTAGATCTTCAACGTCGAAGCATTCCTTCCTCTCTATGTCCTTCATGAGAATCATTGACACCCACACTATCGGAGCTCTGAACTATTATGCTACGGACGCAAACTCTTCTCACTCAGTTGGTTAATAATCATTACAAACTATCAATAACCTTCCAAGACCATCGTAGCTTTGTATTATAACCGGCGGAATGTAGTTATCTAATGATTTCCGCATAATCTGAAATTTTTGTTGTTCATAACCTCCTCCAAAAAACCCTGAAAAGCTGGAACTTTGGACCTGAATTTCCTTCTTTGTTAATGCGTGTATGAATGGACCAAGGAGGTCGAAATCCGGCCATGTGTCTGACGGCCACGCATCGAAGTGCATAAATGTTACCTACAAATCTTTCAACAACAAGTAGGTGATTTCCAACAATAGGAATGACCACATTTGTTCCGATGAATATGTTCTTCTTTGTACAGAGCATCCTCAATGGATAATTTTTTCCCGTTGCAGGGACTGAACCTAGGTGTTGGAACTGTGGTGTTTCATGCTGCAGAGATTCATTAGCAGCATGCTCTCGAAAATTCAACAATACGAAGTTCCTATATGGAAACCCGATTATGAGTAAACCCAAGCGAATTTTTTGTGATGATCTTTTCATAACCATAGACAGAAACTAAGAGCACTATACTACAAATGTGATGATATTCCTGCCCCTTGCTGGACCCAGCTGGAGCTTACTGAGGAGCTCTGCTGTGTGATGGACACAAACGTGGTTCATTGCATTCTGGGTGGGCTACTGAGTTATATAAGGAACTTTAGATATAAAGGTATACAAAAAAATCCCTACAAGTCGTGACTTCTTGTCATCTGTTTCTTCCTCTTTGGGTTCATTCTGTGACGATTGCTGTAAATTATAAGACAATAATTATTTTATCACTACTCGAATTAAGACTCTTCATTTCGAGAGTTTTTTTTTATAAAACAACATACCACATGGAATACTTATATTCTGATTGAAAGATGGGGAATGAAAATGGGAATTATGACGGAATAGTAGTCACTTTAACATCACTAGTTTGCTTCGAACCAAAATTTAGTGCTGTAAATAAGTCGAAAATAAAGACACCTGTGAAACACGTGATGCTATATTCTCGAGTGCCGGATCCGTGCTAGCTACTGAAAGATCGTAAACGGCATAACCCTTAAAATAAACACGCTTTTTGCACTCGATAACAAAGCGGTTATCTTCGATCCCCATCTTTTCACCCTCCTTCATTGGCCAGTATGGATAGCAGAGATTCGAGTCTGACGCACTTAACTTCTCACTTAACGACACGCATATTTTACAGCCATCCTAAAACGTTATATATTGACAAACAGAACAAATCCTGATATGGGTAGATTTCAGCTGAGTATTTATTGCTGTTTCTTGACAGCTACTGACAAATACATGCAAGTCGTATTTGTAGTCGTACCCTCCAAACCATCCGCCAGAAGTCCCGATAGTTCTCCTTCGTGGGCGCCTGTATTATGATATAATCGTCTCGCTCACAACATGCATATGTAGCAGGCACGTAGTCACCGTCTCCTTCTCTTGCCTGAATCCTCGTCTTGAAAATTCCTGTTATTTCTAATCGCTAACTGAATACTCACTCTTAACCTTCTATCTGATGCCTACTATAATTTTTCGCGGCAGGGTATGATGTTAAATACAGCCACAACGATGCTGAGATGTTCACAAAACTTGGACCCTGGGTCACATCGAACCACGACCACCCTTTGCGGGGGGTCGCGTGTTACACACTGCACCACTGAGGCCATTGCTTTGTAATTCTCTCACCTGATTTTCTACCTAATGCTGCCATCAGCAATCACTCATCGGTGGAATGGGTCTGGGGAGCACAAATCAGCATTGAACCCAGTCGAGTTAGTCGAAAGCAGTAAATGAGAGGCTAAAAATATTGTAATTTCGAAGAGTGATTGCTGATGGCTATGTTTGGTATAAAACTAGCTGAAAGAAACGCAAAGCAAGGGTATAAGTGGTGCAGCGTGTAATACGCGAGCCCCCGGAAAGGGTAACCGTGGTTTGATCTGTCACGGACTCCAGGTTTTGCTAATATCTCAGCATCATTGTGGTTCTACTCATTCTTTAGCGAACGCATTTGCCACAGCATTCACGATTTTTCCACCCGTCAGATCAACTTTCACAAGAATACGGCAATTTCTTTGAAAAACTGGACAAATTAGTTCTTTCGCCATGAAGCGAATGGTACTTTGGCAATATCTGCCAATACCTAAGTAAAGCAATTCTTCTAAAGTGAATTCGAAGTGAAAAACCAGCTTTCGTATTCCCATTTAACAAATCCTAAGCAAAAGTTGAGGGGCAGCGCAGAACAACGGTTAAAATTGCCGTGCAATACACACGTGATCCTTCGTATTTTTGTTGAGCAAACGCGAGGTGTTATTATTCTTTATTCACGAATGAGCTGACGTTTCGGCGGATTTCGCCTTCCTCAGAGCCGCTTTCTATGAGGTCTCCACTAAGTATGTCACGTAAAGACCAACCGCACAGAAATCACATGGAAGTATAAT